AATCATGCGACACCAGATGTGTAAGAGACTCATAGATGCCTGATCTCGACATCAGACAAGAAAAGGACTTCTTTCTACAAGTCGACTGGTAAATTCATAGCATGAATTAACGGCAACTACGCAAGGTAGCGTGCAGGCGGCGGTCTATTCCGTCTAGGTCGCTCGCCTACGTCAGCTTGTTGGCTGGTTTTCCTTCTTTTCATGTCTGCATCTGAAAAGACTCCGCATTCATTCCTCTCCGCGCTTCATTTTTGAACACCTTCGCCTGGACTGTGACCGAGTCTGCTCCGTCCGCGTTTCTTCGATGTTTTGCTGTCTCCGCTACTCCCTTGCGGTACGCTTTTTCCTTCGCAGTTGTCTTCTCTCGAATCATCTGCTGGAAAATGCTTCATCTGCGACAACACTCTCTCCGTAGACTCACCTTGGCAGTCTTCTAAGCGTCCTTGAGCTACATCCCCTCTCTTCGCGTGCTTCTTTCCGAATTCCCCTCTGGCGGCCGAGGTTGCAATATCCGCCAGTAGCCGATCCTTCTCAATCTCGTTGGCCTGCTCAACCTCCACGTCTGTGGGATGCCTCTGCAATGCTGCCATATTTTGACTGGAGTGTGGACGCCCGGGCCGCATGCGCGGAATAGTAATTCTGGCTGGCAGTGTTATGATACCTAGTAAGTGATCTACCACTAGTGCGTGATGGCATCGGAGAGAGGTTGCAAATCCTTTGCAACTGCACAACGCCCTTCGATCACTGTCTCCATCCGTGGATGCAGAAATGACGATGTGGATCTTCAGAATGTCTTCTTCGAAGTCTTCGCACGACGTTAACACATAAGGGTTCGGGCACTTGTCAAACTCTATTCTTCTCAGGGCTGCTGGCTTGGTGAGTGGCTCCGACCGACGGGATGATGCCACGCAGAATACTCGATCTCCTCTCGTCGTCTGCTCTACCTCCTCCACTAGTTCCGATATATTTTCAAAGTGCTTCTCAAGTCTTTCACTAGCCTTAGTCTCCATTTCTGGACTAGCTGAGCGCATACAACCGGTTGTGGTTATGTTTATCCTCCCTCCTTCAAAATCTCTTATCGCTCTTAGGTAGTCCCTCAACTTGCACACAACCCCAGTGTCTCCCGTTAAGCTGCCCATCCTCTCCTTCCCCAGATAGTGACATCTGAAGGATGAGAATCCACTCTCCATACAATTGTTCGTTGGCGGGAAACATCCGACCTGTCCCCTATTCAAGACATTTGCAGGAGACTCGTGATGGAAACCCCCCCTTGCACTTCTGCAATCTACCCACGAATGCTGCAGTCTCCTCTTTACTTCCTCGCCATAAAGCTCCTCCGCCTCCTGCAGCACCAGTGTTACGTATGCATCGTAACAACCTTCGCCCGAACATTCACATAGCAGAGCTAACTTCTCCCTCGCGTACTTCTCGAATTCGGCTTTCTGCTCTCTCGTTCCCACTGGTATAGCGCCTAGGTTTTCTTCTGCGTGCCAGCTACACCTTATGCTCATCAGTTTGTACCCTTCTTCTTCTGGAAACGTTTGTGCCGCACCCAACACGATCCCGGGGGATGCGTCGGCCACCACGTACGCCGGTCCTCTAACACTACCTCCAAAGAAACTCTCTAGTATACGTCTCAGCCAGCCAAATATGTACGACATGCAGGCCGCGGACTCCACTCTCCCTATACCGCACAGGGCGGGGACCGATGACCAACCGAAGGAATCATGCACGTCTACTACTCTTGTAGGTGCCTTCTTGTGGTAGTGCAGTATTCCCACGACGACTAACACTCCCACGGCTCTCAACGACTTGAAGTGGCCGTCGGCGCAAACCGACGGCAACACCCTCACTCCGTAATCTTCCTCGGCTGACCGCAGAAAAGTTCCGACCGGATCGAACGCCGCGTAGATATTTGCTAAGGCGCAGCGACTCGTCACCACCGCCATCGCTTGGGGCTTCCCCTTAGGATTGCTTGGAGGCAGTCGAGTGGAGCCCAAATAATAGAGTTCTTCGCCTCCAGGAATGACTGATGAATGAAGCAGCCCAGTTGGGGTTTCGCGGAAACTCTGCCCTATGGAGTCTATTACCGAGCTGTCAATAGAAACGAACCCACGGGCCTCGATCTCTTCAAGAACCTCAGCGAATGAGGTGGTGACCTTATGACTCCGACCCAAGTAGTTTCTCCTTTTGGCACGAATCGTCTTAGCTAGCCGCTGGTATCCATCTGGTGGCGATGGTATATTACTTCCACCACTCACATCTCTGGCGGTGATGGTCCCAACATCTTGGACTGAACCCGGGCCTCCATCAGCCGCGCGGTGCTTGCTGTCCAGAGCTTTTGCCGGTGTTGCCAGTTGTTTGGGGTGGTTTGCTTTCATCTGAAATAACCATGTTCTCACTGCTCAGCTTGTATGCCACAACTCACTTCAGCATAGGCTCGTATAGGCTTCTTCTCTCGAACTATTCTGTCAAACTCCCTGTTGAGCAGGTGTGGCAGCTTGACGTATTTCCCGCCACCCAATTGCTTGTCGCCGTCGCTGTGGCCAACCTTCGACAGAAAAAGCTCTGCCCCAGGCTTCGAATCTACTCCCGATATCCGAATAGCTTTGACCTGATTCACTATGGTAGCGTATCGCCCCGCGAACTGTACTGTACTACTTTGAATTGGCACTCCACATGAGAGCTGCAAAGATACGTCTTGAAAGTAGGTTGCTCCCCCCGGCGGTTGCTACCGTAACTTTTCAGCTCTATCCCCAGGATGTCTTCCAGTTTGTGCTTCATTTCCTTTCCGCGAGGCCACGTGGCCCCTGCGTCAATGACGTCCTCTTCGAACCATAGTGTTCGAAAGCAAGAACCATATTCGGTCCTGGGATGAGACATTAGACACTTCAAATTCTGAGGATAGGTTGCTGAACGTCAGTCTGATAATCTTTCGGAAGTTGCCTGGATCTTGGAAATGCATTCTCTACATTTGCAAGGAAAAATACTCGAGACCTATTCTTTAGAAATGAGGACCTTTTGAGACCGCCGGCTGAACTCGCTACACTTCTCTAGAAAAGAGGCCTATTCTTTAGAAATGAGGATCTTTTGAGGGCGCGCGCTAAGCTTCTTTGGTTTTCATGCATCTCGCTTAGATTTGATGCAGTGCCCCTCGCATTGGTGCTGCGAGGTATCGAACTCACGATCTCCAGGATGTTTATCAGCATGTCTGACCATTACGCCAAAAAGCCATATTAAATTCTGTAGTCTGTTCTTGTCTTGTTCCTGCTCAACTTCTACGACCGTTACATGGCGCTTAAGCCCTCGTCACTAGTACTACTGTTCGACACTCTCTTCCGGGGAAATAGATTCATTTGTCTCGGCACTCGTGAGAACCCGAAACTTCAGTTTGGGTGGAGTCAAAATCTACTGTGATGGCACCTTAAAATGTTCCTCCAGTTTGTTCCGCCAATTGTATGGGATTCATGTGAAGACGAGTAATTATGGTTCGCCCGTTATTCTGTGTTTTTACAAGCGAAAACTAAGCACATTTATGTGGATTTTTTGTATTTACTTGATGAGAAATGCCGCGATCTCTTTGGTGATGGTGTCAACATTGAACACGTGATTCTTGATTTCGAAAGTGGCATGATTCGAGCCATACAAGCTCTAATGCCACAGACCATCATAAGTCTTTGCTTGTACCACTGGGCAGCAGCTCTCTATTGTAATCTCTGTAACCTTCGCGAGGCATTCCACCACATATTAAATTCTCTGTGTGTTACTTCGACTCCTACTTTCTATTATATTTTACTAACATAGTGGACGAGCTCGACGAGTTCGCTAGGATGTTCCCCAGAAAAGAGCAAGGCGATGCTCTCGTAAA